ATAAGTTGTGTTTTAACAGCTGCGAGGCTATCACTTACGAAGTTCAGAACTAAATGTGTGAGGCCTTGAGTGAATTCTGGGGTTAAAAAATATTGCGCACACATCTGTTGAACGAGGGCTGGTGAATAGGTTGGTGTTAATTGGGAGGGAATTCGGGAGGCCTGCTCAACGAGCGACTTACCAGAGTCCTCCAGGGGGTCCTGCCGTCGCTGTAGCTGCGACTGGGGGGCTTGATCTAGGCAACCTTTTGCGGCGAAGCCAGATGCACCCGGGGCCGCTGCTCTGGCCTCAAGGTCAGGTTATGTGTGGGCTCTCGTTGCGGGAGTGCTGGTCACGTATCGTAGCTTCTCGCACTGCATTGCGAAGAAGGTTGCGGGTGGTTTCGGTTCCTGTAGGTATGCGCAGGTGCCTGGTGGTGTAGTATAGTGACGTGGTGGTGTTTGTGAAGTGTGGTGGCACCGTGGTGTTATGTACAACGTGCCCGGAGACGACGGCAGCAGTGCTTCTCGATTGAGTGGTGGAAAGACGATGACGTTGGCGCGAAACGTCACGCATGAAACTGCGGCCCGCCAGAAAGAAGAGGAAGTTTGCGCGAAAGATCGCGCTGCCAATGCACGAGAGGGAAGAAGGGGAAGACCAGCCGAGGGCAGAACGAGATCGAGCTGGCTGGAGTGCAGATCCTGGGTGTCGCGCGACTGCGGCGACGGGTTCCGGACCCGACCACGTGAAGTCAGGGCAGGCTAGGACGCTCCAGCTGCCCATGGTGTACTTGGAGGTACGCGGCCTTCCAGAGTTTCGGTCATGACAATTCAAGGTCACGTCCCAGGTGTTCATTCTTGCCGTGGCTGTTCAAGGTCACGTCCCAGCTGTCGGGGCTTCAACTCCAATCCCGAACCACCCGTGGAGGGCGGAACCTTCCGCGTGGTGATCATCTCTTCGACACGAGCCAGCATCGGCAAGCGGCCGTAGTTCTTGCTAAGGCAAGGGCTACCTCGTCTTCCGCCAAGCGTCGCCGTGCTGGTCAGCGCGTGACTCCACCTGGTGAGATATCGCCAGCGTCCGCCGCCTCAACCCACCGCCACCATCAACGCCACCGGTGACTGTTGATTTTCATAAACATTCTAGCTGGACAGCTTTTAGGATAAGTTTCAGCCTGTCTGCTTAGACTCGGTGTCTGTACATCGCAACTGCATCTTTTTTTGTTAATTAGGCCTCAAGTTTCTACTTTTTTTCACACCCTAAACTGCTTCGTCATTTCTTAGCTCCGAGGCTTTCCCTCCGAGCAACAATTTATTAAACCGTAACCCTGCATCACAGATGGGTGGATGTGCTTGGGGTTGAATAGGTTGCGAGGTCTGCTTTTCATACCTCGTGGTTTTTGAGCACTTGGATTCGGCCCTCCTACCATGGCCTTGGCTGCCGGCGTTTGGGGACTGCTGCGAGGTTGGTTGTTTGGTATGAGCTGTTCAGAAAGTTGCCTCAATAAAGGGTCACTGGGCTTGTCTAGGAGCTGGCGTATCTCTCAGCACACAAGGCCCAGGTCTTGTCTGTCGGGCCGGGCACCCCATGTCGATAGTGAGATGTTCATTGGAGCCTCACTTTAGACAGCGCAGGACGCAACCATCACGTTGTTTGCCAGGGTTAAGCATGCCGCGATTTCCGCACCGCTGTTCCAGTGAATATGGGCAGATGTCATGTTGGTAGCCAGTTCTAAGGCAGCAGTGGCACACTTCGGTGACTGGTCAGAAAGGTCTGCACCGAACTTCCATGCTTTGGAAGTAAGCGTATTGGGGCACACGCTTTCGCTGGAAGTGTAGAGGCGTGCTCCATTCCGCACACTGACCAGAGGAAGCTGCGTTGCTCACACTGCCCCATCTCAAAGTCTCTGACACTGGTCGATAGGGGCATGCAGAAAATAGACGCGTGCGCGCGTCCTTCTTGTATCCCAATTCTCCGACAGATGCAAGGCGCGACATGCACGCGTCGTGTTCACTTTTCACCGAAACCATCGCAAAGTTGCTTCTTTATCCGCTAGGCTATGTAATCTGGCACTGTTGTCAGACTGGAAAGCTTCACTGAATGGCACCTATGGTCGGCTTAGGATAATAGTGATACTTTGAGGATAAGTGACGATGTCGTTCATGAGGGCATCCTGTGTGGTTATAAGGAGGACTCCTGTGATTACTCCTCTGCACCACGTAAGCGGAGATTAAGTACGATCTGCTGCTGAGCTTGAGCGTCTGCACATGGCACAGCTGTTCCGCAAGGTTTAGGTCTGAGGTCCTGATTAAGGTGATGTTCTGCTCCTCGCTTACTCGTATTCACTCACTGAGAGGCAAAAGGGGCTCAGAGAGTAATTTGTATAGCATCGTGCAAGGGTATTACTGCTTCTCGTTGCAGGGATATGCCTCCTTTTATACAGAAGATCACCTTGTGGTTCTCTACGAGAAGACATGACTGGCGGGGCCGGCTGGTTCCATGTTTGTGCTCGTGTTGGTGAAGTAGGGCTGGTCTGAAGCGTGAGGCGCGGACGACCGTAAATATGAATAGTGGGCTGCTTCGGCAACACCACTCGGACCGGGGTGGAGCCGCAGGGTTCGACGTTGTCGACGGGCACAAATTCGTCAGAATCCATGCAGTCTAGTTGGTCTCGTGAGTCAGAATTGATGGAGGTAATCTCCGCGAATTGGTGCCCTGCCCAGTTCTCTTCGTTGCGAGGCACGTTGCAGAACGCATCACAGAACGCGTCGGCCACCGATTTGCCAGATGGTGCCAAATTTGCCGTTGGTGCCAGATGAAAGGTGGTGACTTGCCTGTTGCGATGGTTTTGCGATTTTGTGCCGATGGTTGGAAAACCCTGGCTCCTGAGGACGGATAAGCAAAGCCAGATGTAATCCGATCTGCATGTATTGGCGCCCACGTCAGTATACTCTTACTCGGCGAAAAGCGGTGGGTTCGGCCCGGACCCCAAACTTGATATCAGGCAGGCTAGAGACTGGCGCCGGTTACAAAGAAACACCTATCTTAATCTATTGATTCTCAACGAAATCCCCCCAACGCCGTACCTAGACACATGTCCGTGGTGTTGGGAGCGGCCATCTCTTCCGCAGATAACGTGCACGTATAGACTCAGGCCACCCTAAATTAATTCACCCTTGTTAGGGAGAAACCTATTTAAGAGGCACTGGGAGGTCTGGCTTGCAAGCAAGGATCGATAGAGACAAGCTGCTCGTCTCGATCAGGCCCTGCGAGCCGCGAAGGACAGTGGGGTCCTGGACTGGGAAACCCACCTACCTTGACCCTGATTCCCTCTGGTACAATAGTTTTTATAACTACTACAAGTACCCGGAGTCGAAAGCGACCTGTGCCCTACAAGGCTGCCAGCTATGGGCGAGCCACCAGGGGACGCCGGTCGAGTCGGTCGAGCCTCGTGTGGTACTATCAGCGCTCGTGTTTTGCTAGTGTACATGATAATAAGGGCTGCAGCACGAGCACGAAGGTGCTAGAAGAAAAGTGAAACGAAAGGCGAGGCAAGGAAAGCAAAAAGGAGAACACGAGCGCTGACTACCAACTGAATTTTAAAACAAGAGAAGGCAAGAGGAAATAAAGAGCGAAAAAGAGTTGCAGTCATCCCATACTTCCACAATATATCTCATGGTTTGAAGAAGGTAGGCTCGAGATATGGTGTGGATGTAGTTTTATCAGCCCCGTGCAAAGTAAGCCAGATTTGCAGGATGATGGATGAGCGCCACAGTGGAATCCCCAAAAAAAGTAGGACATGCGCCGTTAAACACATAAATAAATTTGTAGTTTGCGCAGTTGGTGTTGTTTACATGCTTCCTTTAACGTGCGGTCGTTGATATATAAGCCAAACTGGGCAGTGCATTAATAAAAGGTTAGGAGAACATATGAATGATGTGTGCAAAGGAATTAGTTCCAACATCATTCTGCACTGTAAAAGCTGCGGGTGCCAGCCTCGATTTCCGGGCGTGAGTGTGCTGGTACGCCACATGGACAATGTAACTCGTGAAATAGCTGAGGCGTATTTTATTAGAAAACATGGTGACGGTTGCGTGAGCCAACCTTCGGTGGCCTTGCATGACAGAGTTCGCGCTTTTAGATAAGGGTTAGCCATTTTATCATTGTATCTTCTTTTTATCAGAGCCTTCCCCAGAATATGTCACGTTGCTCACGTTTGCTGGTAATAGATTGCGTGTTGTATATATTATCATGTGTGCTGCGAATAAGAAAATTCAGTTGGTAGTCAGCGCTACGCGCTGCAGCCCTTATTATTATGAATTCCAACCAACTAGCCCAAATAGCCCAAATAGCCGTTCTTCTTCTTTGCTAGTGTAGCGTCGCTGTGCCCAGCGAGCCCACTCATACAAAAATGAGTGTTTTGTTTCGTACCTGTCATTTGTTCCAGCGGGAGCGCGTGCGTTCTAATAAGCATTCGACTGCCCTCTGCCGGAGTGGGCTGCTCCGGTGCAGAGTTCGTTATTCACTCTGAATCCACAAATCGGTAACACCACTAAGTAACACCACTAATACTTATCGTCACTCGCATTCGTTAGGTAGAGAATATGTGTGCACATCAAGTTATATTTGATAAATATAAGCGTCGTTTCAGGGCATGTAGCGCGTATACAGTTTAAACAGTGGTCATTAAGGGTAACTAACTGGATTCCCAGAGAAGGCAAGCGGGTTAGGGGGAGACAGAAGATTAGGTGGGCAGATGAGATTAGGAAGTTTGCGGGTATAAATTGGCAGCAGCAAGCACAGGACCACGTTAACTGGCGGAATATGGGAGAGGCCTTTGTCCTGCAGTGGACGTAGTCAGGCTGAAGATGATGCTGGTGGTGATGGTGATGATGATGATGAAGCGTCGTTGTGTCGAAGGTTGTGCTAAATTTACTAAATTGCGCGTAGCACATCTTTGTGAAAACCTTAAGTGTCTGTTGGAAATGAAGTGTGGATATAATTAGGAAGACAACCAGGGCTATTTTGCCAACATATTTATTACAACCCGCTCTTCGCATTGGATGCATTGGACTGCGCCATCGGGGCCTCTGGTTAATTGCCAGGCGCTTCACTGTTAGCCTGCAAAAAAGACATCGGATCGTTATTACAGCGGTTATAACCCTATTTCAAACACAGAACAGTGAGACGCATGACTGTTCTGTGTGCATTCCTTTTGAAGTCGTTATTCCTCGCGTTCGCCTATGGCATGTTCTAATGAAATCAACAAAAAATGTAAGAATTGTAGCGAAGGAAAAACGATGAAAAAAGACACGAGCAAGCAAGCAAGCAGCAGCTTCAGTAGCAGCACCACTACTTGATCACTCTTCTTTGGACTGTTGTTCTGACGCGACGAGTAGCTCTGCCTCACTCTCTTGGGACTTTCTGCGAACAACTCTTGCATACCTGTTCTGAACTTTGGACGCTGCGCACAACTGCTTGGACGCTGCGCACAACTGCAGCATGCTGGACACAGTATCACCTTTAGGCGCAAACGACCCTGTTGCCCGAGCCATTGATAACCTACAGCCGCCTCCAGGCAGTCTGCTGCTAGCCAGACACCTGATGACGCGTTCGACAACATGATTGCCTCGGACCTGAACCCTTCTAAAAGACTAAACCTTCACCTTTTCTTGGCGTCATATGACGAAGTTTTTGATTTCGCTTCACCAAAATGTGGACAAAAATCTCTGGTCACCCATCTAATTGACACCGCGGACGCAAGACCTATTCATTCGATGCCCTGGCCATGTCTCAGCGACTAAGCGCAAAGTCATTAAAACGAAAGTTGATAAGGTGCATGCTAAGGACAACATCGAGCCATCTTCGAGCCCTTAGGCGTCACCCGTGGCACTTCTAAAAAAGAAAGATAACACCTGGCGCTTCTGCGTAGACTACCGGCTCCTCAACAAAATCACCAAAAAGACCTCTACCCTTTGCCGCGAATAGACGACGCTCTTGATACCCTCCATGGAGCACGGTACTTTTCCTCTATCAACCTTCGTTGAGGCTATTGGCAAATAGCTGTTGATAAAAATGATCGGGAGAAGACCGCCTTTATTACACCCAGTGGTCTATACGAGTTTAAAGCCATGCCCTTCGGGTTGTCCAATGTGCGAGCAACATTTGAGCACATAGTGGACTCGCTACTGAGCAGTTTCAAGTGATTCATATGCTTCTGTTACCTGGACGATATCGTCGTTTTCTTTCCGACGTTCACCAGTCACCTGCAACGCTTGTCGGCTATTTTGCAAGTCGCCCCGCCGCGGCGGTCTAGTGGCTAAGGTACCCGGCTGCTGACCCGCAGGTCGCGGGTTTGATCCCGGCTGCGGCGGCTGCATTTCCGATGAAGGCGGAGATGTTGTAGGCCCGTGTGCTCAGATTTGGGTGCACGTTAAAGAACCCCAGGTGGTCGAAGTTTTCGGAGCCCTTCACTACAGCGTCTCTCATAATCATATGGTGGTTTTGGGACGTTGAACCTCACATATCAATCAATCAATATTTCGAAAGTCTTTCGCACCACCAGTCTTCAACTCAACTCTTCAAGATGGCGCTTCGGCCGCCGAGAAATCGCCTGGTTGGCGCTGCGGGTATACTACCTAATCCTATCAAAAATATGCGTTGTCCCCAACTTCCCTATTCCACGTTCTTCCAAGAACGTCCGCTCGTTCTTCGGCCTGTGCTCGTATTTTTTCTCTTTGTTAAAGATTTCGCCGTCCTTGCGCTGCCCCTCACATGTCTTTGTAAGAAGGACGTTCCTTTTTCTTACGAACCTGACCAAGCGTCGGCTTTTTTTAATCTCGTCAACCGACACACGTCACCCCATATGTTGACCCATTTCGACGACTCTGCGCCTACCGAAGTTCGCACCGATTCCAGTGGTCATGGTATCGGCACTCTCCTTGGTCAAAATCAACGTGGCCACGACTGCGTCATTGCTTACGCCAGCAGCCTCCTCTCCGCAGCTGAGCGGAACTATTCTATAACCAACAAAGAGAGCCTTGCTCTTGTTTGGACTGTCGGGAATTTCATCCCTGTCTTTACGACAGACCCTTTACCGTGGTAAGTCATCACCACGCCTTATGCTGGCAATCTTCACTCAAAGACCCGGCTGGTCGACTTGGCCGTTGGGCACTACGACTTCAAGAGTACACGTTCACTGTTGTCTAAAGGTCTGGCCGCTTGCATCAAGACACTGACTGCTTGTCCCGCTATCCAGTCGACTCGCCAGGCTCTTCGGTGAACGATACCATTCCGCCTGTGCTTGCTGTAACTGACCTGTTCAACATTTACGCTGAGAAACGACGTGACCCTAGTCTTCGTAACATTATCGACCACTTAAACCCTACAGCTCCCGATTCATCCCTTCGTGTCCTTGTGCTAAATGATGGCACTTTGCTTCGTCGCAGTATGATACCCGATGGTGCTGAACTCTTGAGATTCGCGCACATTTTCGTCCGATTGTTCTGTTCCAGCTTCATGACGTGCAGATGGCGGAGACCTCGGCGTTTCAGCACATCTACGACCGTGCAAAGCGTTGATCATACTGGCCAGGAATGTATAAGCCAGTGCATCGTTACGTGACCTTGTGCGATCTTTGTCAGCGTCGAAAGAAGTCAACACTCCCACCTGCCGGCTGTCTTCAATCACTTGACGTACCATATGAACCGTTTCATCGTATCGGTCTTGACTTGCTTGGTTCATTCCCCACATCAATCTCGGGGAATCGATAGATCACCGTTGCCACAAACTATGCCACAAGCATTGAAATTACTCGCGCACTCCCCACCAGTCGCGTGAATGACGTAGCGGCTCTTCATGCGCCACAACATCATCCTTCAGCACGGAGCACCGCAGCAGCTTCTGACGGGCCATGGAAGGCAGTTTTTATCTCGGTCATTAATTAATATTTTAATGTCTTGCTTGACCAGACATAAGCTAACCACGGCCTGCCATATGCAGACAAGTGGCTTAACCGAGCGGATGAACCGAGCCATTACCGACATGCTGGCAACGTACGTGTCTGCCGATCACCAAGATTAGGATGCAGCGTTGCCTTTTGCCACGCTCGCCTAAAATACATCGCGGTACGAGACGGCTGGCAATGCACCTTTCATATTTTAATGAGCTGAAATGCAACGCTTTTTATGTACACAATGATGACTCCTTCGACGCACCCACTTACTGAATACGCTCAAGAACCGACAGTTCGCGCCAACCATGCACGTCAACTTGCGTGCATTCGGCGAACTGACTCGAAAGCAGGCTGAAAATCTTGATACGACAGTCGTCGCTGAAACATACACTTCCCTCCAGGACCCCTTGTCCTCCTGTGGTCTCCAGCACGCCATATTGGGTTTTATGAGAAGCTACTATTCCCGTACTTCGGACCATGCCGTGTGCACCACCAAGTGACCGAAGTCACGTATAAAATCGAACAATTGTATTCGTCGTCGTCCACGCAGCCCTACACTGACATCGTTAGCGTTGTCCGTCTGAAGCCTTGTTACACACCGGACTCCCCCAACGTACATGTATAGGTACCACTTTCACTACCTTCTTCTCCGGGTGCACTGAGTCGGGGCCTTTACCGCCGGAGGGTAATGTTATGTGTCGCTCACCTATATATATATATATATATATATATATATATATATATATATATATATATATATATATATATATATATATATATATATATATATATATATATATATATAAAGTAAGAATTCATTGGACGTCATCTTCCTCATCTGTGAATAACTATCATCAGTCTTCATTTCGTTTCTCTTCATCATCGGCGTCATCTTGCTGTTGCTTGAATAAAGCGTCAGCTGAACCGTTGTATTTCAAGTGGTGGAAGGAGCTTCCCGATCTCTTCGACCTCTCTCCATCAAAAGCCATCTCCTGGAGCTCCATTCGGGACGTCGCTTACGCCAGCAGAGCACCATGGCGCAAGAGCAAGCCCAACCGAACCACCCGCCGGCGCAACCAACAGCCGCCAACCCTAGCCCGGTCAACAACCCCCCTCGGGAGCTTCCAATGTTCTCCGGTCTGCCTGGCGAAGTTGTAGAAGACTGGCTCGACAACTATGACCGCAGTAGGTGTCTACAACAAATGGAACGAGGCATCGAAATTGGCACGCGTCCAGTTTTACGTCTCTCAGGTTGCCAAGACGTGGTTTCTAAATCATGAGAGCGACTTCCGCGATTGGTCTTCCTTCAAAGACCAGCTCCAACGCATTTTCGGCACACCAACCGTCAGTTCAGAAGTTGCTCGCAAGAAACTGGCAGAACGCGTTCAACATTGCGGTGAGTCCTACACTTCCTATATTGAGGATGTGCTTTGCCGCCGGAGGACTTTGCCGCCGTATCGACGACACCATGCCTGAAGGTGATCGTGTCCGGCACCTTCTGAAGGCTATCGGACCTACTGCTTTCCGCGCCCTCGTCGCGCACGACCCTTCGACGGTTTCCGACGTCGTCTCTGTATGCCAGCGGCTTGATACCTTGCAGTCAATCCGCCTGCGACCCGGTTTCTGTGAGAACCCCCTGGCAAACAGTATGGAGCTCCGATCCATCATTCGAGCCATGATTCTTGAGGAATTGCAAGCCTATAGTTTAACCCCTTCTAACAGCGTTCCCGCTCAACCCGCCTCTAGCAATCTGCGTGGTATTATTAGGGAAGAAATGTCAGCGTTTCAAAGCACCCACCGTGCTCCACCATGCCCCCAACCCGCTTCGTATGCACAGATCGCTTCAATGCAACCCTCGCCGTCGCTAGTACCGCCACCTGTGCCTGATCATGAACATCTCGCACCTCTAGTCACCCGTCCACCGAACCCAACCTTCCATTCTTCCTGGCGGGCCCCACGGCCTATTTGCTACTACTGTGGAATTCGAGGACACATTTACCGGGTCTCTCGACGTCGGCAGCAAGATGAACGTCGTGGTTATGCCGCTTTTGAACGAGACGACACATGTGCTCGAGGCTACTACCGTTATGCCGACAGTCGTTCAAACCACTGATCACCGTCTCCTGTGCGCATTTCCAACACGACCAACAATACACGTGCATCCCGA